GATCTGATAATTCCAGCATACGCTGTCTGGTCAACTGGATGAACTCTTTTGCCAGAACGAGATATTGATTTGAGGGGGTCTCCACTGTTTATGCCCTGATTTTCGCAAAACTTGTTAGAAATATATAAATATTTATAGTTATTATAAATGTACAATATCTTTGAGGCATGTATGTCTTTGCCAAACCGGGCTAAAGTGTCCAAGAGATTAAAACTGCCCCGAGAGAACCTGCAGAAAGACAGATGGATAGGAAGACAGGATGATCACATTAGCTTTTTTTTCCCCTTAGGAAAACATGTTAAAAAGAAAAAAACCCAAACCATCAAAAGGCTAGTTTGTACTTATGAATTCTTATCAGACTTAATTAAATTCTGATTTCAGTTCTTTACTTTGTACCAGGATAAAACAACAAAAAAAGTAGTAATTTTATGAATTAATTTTGAAGAAAAGATTGATTAGCAGAAGATGAGCTGTTGTGTATAAACATGTGAAAAATCCTACTGAACTTTTTTTTTTAAATTATTTTTCTTCAATAATTTTCAGAAAGATTTAAACTTTCCTCATCTTTGCATTCCAAGAAGCTGAATGAGAACTTCGTGGTGGAGCTACCCACCGAGTGCGTTTTGTAGTTTTTGCTTCTTTACTGAATTGTGAGAAAAAAACCTCAAAAAACTAGCATCATGCATCATACGCTAAAAAATCTTGAAGGGAGATGATGAAGACTGTTGTTAAGGGCATTTGACTTGGATCATCTTTAGAGGGAGATAAAAAAGAAAATAAGATTACCTTGGGAAAAAATACATACAAAACCAGTCAGATTGTAAAGCCTCCGATAAAACCCTACTCTCGGCAAGTTACATTGCGGGGGCAGGGGGAAAGCAGCTTCTCTGTCCGTAATGTGTATTTTTTTTAACATTTACAAATTATTTTTGACTTAGCCACGCAGGGAGCCTACTTTCAACTCTCAATTTGAAAATCATGGAGGCTTTATAAAGTCTTCCACCTGCATCTCTTTTTTGCATCACAGTTCTTTATCCTCTAAAGGATGAAAACCCTGGCATATAAAAACTTTGTTAAGCTGTCACTATCAATAGAGTAAAAAAAAATAATGGTTGACAAAGAAGAAACAAATTGCATCTTCGAATAAGTTTCCTTCATGCTCTTGTTAAAAGCTATAACCTCTGATGTTAACTAAATTTAACCCATTCTGACCCTTGCAGTGGCCCTTAACCTTTTCTTTATTCTGCTTCCTGTGGTTGCTGAAGAAAACTGGCCCAGTCATTGGAAAAGCGCTCTCTGTTGCACACAAAGCCCCAGCCTCGCTGCTAGTCTGTCAGGAGGGAGAGAATAGACGGGGAGGTCAGCACCTGTGCTGAGAAGCAGGTGACAGGGAACTGCTTGGACCATTCTAGGGCAAGTTGTAATAGTTTCTACCCTTTAAATATCGCACTGTAGTTTCGGGTATTCAAGGCAGCGAAGTTCACGTTTTCTTTGTGAATGCAGACTTTAAACAAATTAATCTATTGCTGTTCAACTGACTGTAAAATTAGTAGATTTACTGTTGCAAAAAAAAAAAAAAAAAAGGGAGAGCTTTCACTTCCACTTTAATAAGGTCACGGATGTGTCCTAGGCTGCCAACAAAAGCAGCTTTTAAAATCTTCGCAGCTGAACCCAGCAACTTGCAAAGGCGGCAGAACAATGTCTTAGATGTACAGTGGAAACTCCTCTCCCTACAGTCAAGATGTAAAACTAGGCAGTTAAAACACTTTCTACACTGGGAAGTTTTAGCTTTAATTGTGTCTCGCCCCAGGGACCCACGGGCTTGCTTTTATGATTAACGATTTAATAAATTCAGTCAGCCTTGCTTTTCAGGGAGCAAAATCAGTTCTTTGGTGGATTCGGTAAATCAGCACAAGCAATTTAACGGCAGAGCATGCATATCTTCAAAAGATTTGTTTGAATTCCTGTAACAGGGGCAGATCTCAGAAACCAAACAAAACTTTAGCTGTTTCAACTGTATTCGTATATTCTGTGCAGGGCATCAGTTAGCACTGACTGTTTACCACTCAACAGAATTTTGGGGTTTGCCTTAATTTTTTGCTGTCTCTTGCTAGAATAAAAATAGAGAAGTGTGTGTAGGAAGCAACTTTCAAAAGCTGGCAATGGAAAAGGAGTAAATGAGCTACTGCAGAATCCCGGAGTCTGGACCTACTACATCCCCAGCATTCCTCTGTCTTTTAAATACATGTTTACTCGGACGTGTTCTCTGCCATATGGCAATGCTCAGCTCAGCACAAGGGAGTTTTTCATCTGAGTTATGTGCAAAAGTCTTTTATAAACACGAAGGGGAAAAGGAATACTAAGGAGTGCACAGGGGAGATTACGGCCCCTCTCCGAACCGGGGGACTGCAGAACCACACCGCCGTGTCTGTAACGAGCTGGAAGGTGGAGGCGAGCCACCCCAGCTGCTGCTAAAGAGCAGGGATGGGGAGGAGAGAGACTCTCTCCAACTCTTCCCCAAAGCTTCCCCGCCTAAACACCCTGTGAAGTAGGGAATTATACAGAAAAACAGGAAAACGGAGGTGCACAGGGTAAGCAACCCTCCGGATGCTCAATACTTTTGCAAGCACAAGCGTGCAGGAGACTAATCACAGCTTTAGCAGTAAGACCGAAAACAACCGCTGTCCCACCCGCTGCTACTGGTTCACGACCAGGAGCCCCAGGCATTGCATAAACCCAACAATATCAGTATTAAATTCCTGATGATCTTGTTTGGCACTTGAAATTTTTCGGATCCGATATCGAGAACTACAGCTCCAGTTCAGAAAGCGGCAAAGATGTTCACCGTGGACCAAAGTACGAGCTGTCCTCCACCCCGAGCCAGCAGGTACGAGCTCCTTGCAGGCGCAGGGCACTTCAGCATCTTCCTTCCTCCTCCCACAAAATGAATGATGGAGCGTGAATGCAAGTAAACTATAGCCTTGGGTCTCCAGGTAAGCACTTTGTCATCCAGCTAAGGACACTCTCGCTCCTCTGCTGGGCATTACAAGCAGCCTACTGCACCCAGAGCGAATAGCTTCAGGGGGAGATAGACCCCAAACCACAGAAGGACTGGAACCAGTTTCCAATATCCGCAAGGGACAATCAAACTGTCCCCCACAGATCGGTTGTGAATGTGGAGGAAGCTTCCCAACAGCATCTTGAGTCTCGCATTAATTAATAACATCAGGAACATCCACACTGGCAGATCGCTACACTGTTCATGCATGAGAGCAGGAAATCTCTCCATCCACCATCCTTTCTCCTTCTCATATATTTGCATTTTAAATTACCTAAGGCATGAATTATCTACGGTTTGGCACGAGGTCTAGCAGAACAGGCCTTGATTTGGCACAAAAAATAATAAAGTGAAAACAACAACTTTGCCAACCAGCTTGGGAAACTAAATGTCAAACGGGAAAAAAGACAGATGCAGACTGAGGAATTAAAAAAAAAACCCCAAATAAATGACTGAGAGTATTGTCAGGCGTGGGCAGAGGATGATGTGCATCAGGCAAAATAGAAGGCAGAAAGTTATTATTAACTGCATTTATTACGACAGTGTCTTTCAAATAATTAAGACTGCAGTCCCACTGTGACAGGCACATATAAAAACACGGCCCCTGGACAATTACAGTGTAAACAGACATGAGAAAAAGGACAAGGAGAAAGAGTGCAACGAACGCCCAGAAAGATCAAGTTAATTGAGGACAAACAGCACGAGAAGGCTGCAGCATTTCTTGGCACGCTAATTAGAAAGGCATGAAGTAAAACAAACATCAGGTTTAAACTTAATGGAATTAAATAAAGGGAAGAGAGATGGAATGCAAGTTGTATGCTCCAGAGTACCTTGTTTTCATGCAGGTAGTTTTTATCACAGTGAAGAGGATTATTAGCTTTATTGCTCCTACTAACACTGCTGAAAATTATCTGTCTTGTGGGGATGGTTCTCAGGGAGGCAACAGTAGCTAACTGCAAGCTGGGCCATTGACAAGCTCTCCTCTAATGCATATTGCAGAGCTGAGGATGAAAAAAAAATAAAAAAAATCTCTCTCCGAGCTTCAGCTCTGCCAAAACTTCCCTTCACAGTTATTCAAATTCCACACTTGATTTCCAGACCATGAAAAGAGCAGCAAGAAACATTTTTGTCTCGCCTTTTCTCATTGTGGAGTATTTCACTCTCCACAACTGGATACTGTAGAATTTCAATAATTTATGTTTCAAGAGCATCAAAGTGAGATCCAGTTTTGTTAGGCACTCTACTGATGTAAGTGATGGCAATCCCTGTTCCCAAAGAACTTACAACTGTAAAGGCATAAAGCCCGAGCAAAATCAAGAAATGAACAAAAGAGCAGGATGGAAAAAACAGGCGCTATTTGCATAGCTACAGTTGTCAGCCAGGCTGTTAACACAACTCACCATCTACTTAGCTAATTCTGTTAATGGCACTTTTCCATATTCATTCCTGCAGGCAAGGAGAATGAGAATAGAGAATGAGAATACGGTGATGTGAATGAATTCCAGACTGTGAGCTGATTTAGTGAAGTTTTCTGGTTTTGCACACAATTACCATTCGATGTCTTCTGTGAAGATGGAGAGCACAAAGCAACGACAGACTCTTTTTTGCACGTGTGTACCAAAGTGACTGCACCAAAACAACGGCACGTGGAATTAAACGATTCTTAACTCTAAGTTAAGAATAGAAAGCTTTCAGACCAAACAGACGAAGCTCAGATTTTCACTGTGTTTCTTCTTCCCGGGCAGGAAGGGGGGAGAGGAAAGAAGGGTCGCTTAGTTGTGGCCCAAA